ATTATTTGGGAAATAATCTTGAAATAAGAAAATATGTTAAATTCCCTCTTATACTTGTAGGAGAGGATCAGAAAGAATATATTAAAGAAATATTTTTATATAAAGATGAGTTATACGGAATAAATCGTTCACCTATTCTACTAGGAATGAACTTTCTTGAAAAATATAGTCCATATAAAATCTGTCAAGAATATTTGAAAATAACAGTTGACGATAATCCAATTATCATTTCAAGAATAGATGAAAATATGAAATCATTGTTATCATGGAAAGAGTAATAAGTACTAATCCCATGAGCCCATATATTGAAATTACACTCAATATAAAAAACTACTGTAGGATTAAATTCCATGCTTACTTAGATACAGGAAGTACAATAAGTTTATGCTTACCAAATGTACTACCATCTGAATACTGGAAATACAATTCAAAGAAGATAGTCACTGCTACAACAACAGAAGGAAATAAGGTAATATATAGCAAGTATGCTACTCAGGTACCTTTTCTAATTTCTTTTAGAGAAGTATTTGTTGATACAATATACATGTCAACCACAATAGGATGTGATATTTTATTAGGACAAAATTTCCTATTAAAATATGCACCATTTACACAATATATTGATAAGTATATGTTTACAACACCATGTGCACATAAAATATTTACACCAAAAATAAATAAAGCTGTTACAATTGCATATAGAGATATAAATCATCAGAGTTCCTCAACCTAGCGTGGTGGATGTTGGAGTACAGAAAAATTTAAACCAATTACAGTCTTAAAAATGACAACAGAAAATAGGTTGGAAAAATTAAAAAAAGAAATTTCTGAAATATATTCTGAAAATCCATTAGAAAAATGGAATACAGACAAAGTAAAGGCAAAAATAGAATTAATCAATCCAGACACTATAGTAAGAGTCAAACCTATGAAATATAGTGTTGATGATCAAAAAGAATTTAAAAATCAGATAAAAGAATTACTAGAAGCCAGACTAATTAGGCCTAGTAAAAGCCCATATAGTAGCCCAGCCTTTATGGTTAGAAAACATAGTGAGATAAAAAGAGGAAAAATCAGAATGGTGATAAACTACAAGAAATTAAATGAAGTTACTAAATTTGATGGATACTACTTGCCAAATAAGGACACACTTATTAAACAAGTACAGAACAAAAAGATATTTTCAAAATTTGATTGTAAATCAGGATTTTGGCAAATCATGCTTACAGAAGAAAGTAAACCACTAACTGCATTTAGTACCCCCAATCCTTTAGGATAATACGAATGGAATGTAATGCCATTTAGGTTGAAAAATGCTCCACAGATATTTCAAAGAAGAATGGATGAGGTAATCAAACCAATTACTCATTTTTGTATTGCATATGTAGATGATTTACTTATTCATTCAAATAATATTGATGAACATATTGAGCATCTTGAGAAATTCTATTATATTATGAAAAAACATGGTATTACACTTTCTCAAAAGAAAGCTGAGATAGCCAAAACAGAAATAGAATTCTTAGGATTATTTATAAAAGAAGGAGAATTGCAATTGCAATCCCATATTGGAGAAAAGTTTCAAGAATTTCCTGAAAAAATCAAAGATAAAAAACAATTACAAAGCTTCCTTGGTATATTAAATTATACTGAAGGATTCATTGAAAATTGTGTCAAATTGAAAAATTATTTTCTTCCAAAATTAAGAAAAAATATAATGTGGTCTTGGGAAGAACAAAATTGTGAAAATATAAGAAAGGTAAAAGAAGAATTAAAGGTATTGCCCAAACTTGTAATACCCTAAAAAAAAGATTTCTTTATCCTGAAAACTGATGCTTCAGATCATTACTGGGGAGCAGTGTTAAAGGTGAAAAAGAAACATAAAAAATATAAATGTGGAAAAGATTGTTCTTGTCCTGAGATACTTGCAGGTTATACATCAGAAACATTCAAAGAGGTTGAAACAAGATATGAGACAAATAGAAAAGAACTCATTGCTGTGAAAAGAGGAGTTCAGAAATATGAGGATTACTTATTACCAAAAAAGTTTTTGATCAGAACTGATAATACCCAAGTTAAAGCATTTTTGAAAAATAATGTTGATCCATCTATTACCAATAAATATATTATTAGGATACAAATTTGGTTTTTATATTTCAAATTTGATATTGAATATATAAAAGGTAAAACTAACTTTCTTCCTGATTATTTTAGCAGGAATGGAGCTGGAACAATTAAGGACTAAAGTCCAAATACTTGAGATAAAAGTTTCCTATTTGGAAACCCAAATTCAAAATATCCAAAATAGCCTTCAAGGCAAAAATATAGCCCTTGGGCAGAAATTACTTGTGCCAAGACTAGTATCCCTTCGCAGGGACTTGTAAATACTAGCGCTTTCTCCGAGGATAAAGGGAAAGAAAAGAAGGTAATAGGAACCTCTTTACAGGGAATATTTAAACCTATTATTGGTAATGAAGATATTCAAGATATCAAAAGAGAAGGCAGCTCTTCACAGAGCCAAACTCAATCTAAACTTTCTATTGAAAGGATAGATCCAAAAGATATTATCAAAATATGCCATGAAACAAAATTTCCCATAAAAGATAACCATGAAGAAGTAACATTCTTTATTATTATTTTTAATATTCTTTCAGACTGGTATTTGAAAATTGGAAAGTGGATGAAGACCCTCCACTATTCAAAGTACAACAGGATAAATTTTTATCCAGGAGCACCAGCCAATTGGGTTCGAAATTGTTTTGAGATAGGAAATATACTCTGTATATATCCTAGCAAAGATCTCAAAGAGATAGCTCAGCTTCCAGCCAACATCAGGAAAGCTGTTAAAAGATATACTGAAGTTGTTAAAACAACAAATATATACATCAGATTTCATTCAGCAACTATGGAGTGGGATCCTATTCTTGAATATATGCATCCATCTTTCCATGTGATCAAAATGGGAATTACAAATCAACATTTTTTATCAACCAATCAAAAGGTTGTTAAAAATGGATATCAAGATATTCTAAATATGATACCCTACAGACGAGCAAAAGGATATAAAGAGATATTTGAACATGTAACTCAGATAATCACTGAGAAAGAAAAAATATGGGTTTATCCATCAGAAGATCATATTATCTATTCCAATGTAAGGATGGATACCAAAGAAAAAGATATTTGTTATCTTGATCATTTATTATCTGCAATTATATCCAACCAAGTGCACGGATCAGAGGATATAGCTAAAGAATTATGCAAATTACTTTGGAATTACAGTGATCATCATTGTGAATACTGTGTAGTTGAAGATATGAGTCAAGCATCCCTTAATGATGAAAAATTCCCTGCAGAATTCTTCAATTCAAAAATGGAAAAGTGATGGTGACTAAAGTAGCCCTTTATCACTACTTTAATAAAGAAATTTATTAAAGAAAAACTGTGACTACTAGAAGGCAGAAGATAATAGAAGAAAAGTTTTTATAATTGTAACTACTCCCTACCAATTGTTACAAGTGGCAGACAAACTCAAAAGATAAGGCATCTAATTTCAAGAGAAGAGGTCCACCCAACAAAAAGACAATGAAGAATTCGGTGGAGATAAGATGGCCTAGCTACCCAACAAAGTAAGGTGGAAAACACCTGTCCAAGATAAGATTCCAAAATCTCCTATAAAAGGGGGCATGAAGAGGAGAGGAGGACATCTCGAAACAGCTTATCTCTTAAACATATTGAAGAGAAATCCTTTGTAATCTGTATACACTACTTGTATTCAGAAAAATATTAGATAGTTTGAAGATAGGAAAGCGTGTAATAAGGTAATCACTTATGGAGTTCTAAACTTCATAAGGTGAGTACCAAAGGTATGTAAATATAGTTTGTAAGCATGTACAATTTCAATTTATGAATATCAAAGTAGAGTTTGTCATGTTCAACAAAGGGATTTTGTTAAGTTTCTCATGATTCCTCGGCAGTACAGATAGAGATTTTAAAAGATTTTCAAAACGTTGATTTTGAATAGGATGTTAGCCATGCCAAAGTACCCGTCTTTGATAAATAGTTAGGGGAAAAAGGCAGTTTTCTAACAAAATTTGTAGCACCTTGTGTGTGAGTTATCTTTTAAAATTTCGTTCCAAGTAAGAACTTGATTCTGAAAAGAGTTTGGATAGAGGTGAAAATAGAGACTCTGGATACTGTGAGATAGCGTCTGTGGAAACACGGCTAGTTCTCTAGAATGAGAAGTGCAACCTTAATTGAAAAGCCTTTTGCGGAAATAGTTGTGGACCCAAATGATTTCAAAAACATTTTAAATCTTTACTTGATTCAGAAGATTGATTAAGTACATGCAAAACATCTATAAGAGCATACTGGAGGAAAGCCTGTTTATTTCCACTTGATTACTGTAAGTTATTTACTTATTTTTACATGCTTATACTTTAATTATTTTCATGAACAATTCACAAGCATCTACTTCAACTATTAATGATAATAATAATTTTATTTTAATTTTAGATGAAAAAGATGTTTCGTTCTTACTTAAACTAGATAAAAAATCTGATGATATATTTCCTGTTGGTAAAGAAAAAACAGAAGAAATATACAGAGATATAGATCATAATTGTAGAAATAATATAGGATTTGATTCTGTAGGAACTAGCAGAGAAATAAGAAAAGTAGAAGATATTATAACTAAACATACAAATATACAAGAAGAAATTCCAGAAGGATTATTTAAAGGATACATAACCAAAAAAGGCCAACCTATAATCTTTGAAGAATTATTAAAATATAAAGAATATTTAAAGGTGTTCAAAAGATTGAAAAATATAGATATAGGACCTGATTGATAAATCCTTAAAGATATAAGATAGATTTTGCAAATAATTTCATTAAGGGCAATATAGTACTTTTAATAGAAAAGACTATTATGAAAAAAAGGAAGAATTTACCGGCCATTTTCAAAGTTGTCCCATTAATTTTTCCCATTTGCCCTTTGTCCCATTCCCAGAATAAAAAAGTCCACAGTGCAATCCTCTAGACTTATCGAAAGAAACCCAGACGAGGGAAGAACCTCCGACAATTTGTAGCCTTTTCAGATGTCCTCATCGATCCGCAACCACAACCACAAGTCAGCCAACTCCGATTCAAGACTACCAAATATCCAACCAGGTATGTACCCTGCAACTGTGTCCCACCAGCTTTCTCATTTTCCATTTCAGTTGGCGCACTCCATACCCAATTCTTGAGATAAGATTTGACCAACATTTCATACTATGACACCAGCGTTCGTCCTGCCTTCGTTTTCAATTGTCGTTCAACCCCACGGATCTATTTTCTAGCCAGGTCAGGCGATGGGTAATTTGATTTTCGGTTCAAATTTCACACTTTCTTGAATTTTCCACATCCTTCTTCCTTCTTACAGATGGGTTACAGTCCTCAGCAGGCATCATTCAGTGCACCCGAAGTAGCAAATGAGGTAGAATCAAGGGAAAATGCAAAGTGGAAGCAAGTCGAGAGGATGACATTCATTGCAGCTTGTGAAAAACAATTGTCGAAGGCCATTGGCATGGCAGGTGTTTCATGAAACATGGCTGGGAGAATGGGGTTACGTTGTTTAATTCGTTATCCGGTTACAATTGGAGCAAACAACTCCGCAACCATTGGGATGCAATGCGTCGCGACCACAAGCGCCTCTCCGAACTTTTATCTTGCAACGGGGTCAAATACGACCCGTCAACAGGCCGGGTTGTAGCGTCTGAGGAGTGGTGGACGAGAAAAAATAGGATAAGTCTCTGGCTCTTCGGTAGGCAGCATATGTTTCACGTTAGTGTATACCTACAGCATTGTGTAATTGAAATCTGTTTGCTTTGCTGTAATTAGTGACTCCTTTCTTCATTATCAGTGTAATCTGCATATGCTCGTCTATTTTCTGTGACTTGAAACTGAAATATGCTCCGATTTACTCCAAAATTTATTATGGTGGTTGGATATTCATTGGGTACTTAAGCCGTCATCTAAACTGTCCGCTATCACAAGATTAACTTTCATTTATGTTGTTCGTGTACTGAGTTGTCTACATTGAAACTGGTTGTCATATTAGACACTGGTATGCTGTATAACTTGCCATAAAATAAAGTTCCATGCATGTTCCTATGAAGTACTAGTTCTTTTACATCCTATGGAAGTGTCTTGTGTGCTAACGCTAATGAGTCGCCTTTGAGATAGATGCAGGATATGGACAGATTCTACTTCTGCAATTCAAAATTATGCCCGGCATATGTTTCAGACGATTTTGCTTTTTGTGCGAACCCCGTCAAATTATAATAAGTACTCAAGGGTGGGTCAGAAATTTAATTCCTAAAGTAATTGAAATAAGATGATGATGATAGGGGCAGGCTGCTATATATTTACAAAGGCATTGCTATCATTTCCAAAAACTCTGTTGTTGAAATTGTCACGGTTTACTGATATCTTCATTGTCATGTATGAGAACCTTGTAATTTTTATTTTCAATCCACTGATGTCTAGACCAGGTTTTGTTTGGGAAGATGTTGCTAGAATTCAAAGAAACTGAATCTATTGTTGACAGAATGTCATCTTCGGGCTCAACCTTTTTATTTCAACAATCTAGGGTTTCAACCTATTATACTCTTTAGAATATGTTCAGTCAATTCACTCAAATCTCTCTCACTCTTAGGAAAATACTACAGGACGTGGAATGGAAATAGGAGACAGAGGAGAGAGTGGGGATGAACTATAAACTTGATCTTTATAAAATTTTGGGGTTATGGAGGTAGGATAATAATATTTCGTTGAAGTTTGCATGATTACAATTATTAGGTGTATTTGGTATAGACTCAAGGAAGAATATTTTCAGATCACAAATGGACATCTCTGTGCATACGAGAAAATATTCCTTTCCTATTTGTGAGTGAAGGCAGCTAGCTGTTCCAAGTAATGAAATTATAAAGTATGTGCAATATGGTTGGGAGGAATTATTTGTTTGCCATTCTTTTTTCTTTTGGTTTCTCTTTATATCAAGGAGACCATGTTCTTCATTATACACTTTTTTCTTTCTAGTAATAAACACTGTTTATCCTGGAAAAAAATGGAGTATTCATGCTAGGCACATAAATTTTTTATAACGAAAGTCGTGATTCATGAATTGATGGAACTTGAAATTCATCATATGTATCCATCTGTTGTGCTTGTTGTGTTCTTTCAAGTCTCTTTTTCGGTATGAATTTAGTTTAATCGTAGTTGATGGAATTGTTGTTTTTGGGAAGGAAGGTGAGCTAGATAATTTTTTGAAACTGTTTTTTCTTTTATTCATTTATGTTGTTTGAATATCCCATTTTCTTGTCCCTTCTTTACTGCAGGAGAACAAAGAGTACAAGGACTTCAAAGACAAAGACGTGAATGAGATTTACATTCTATATCGTGTGCTATTTGGTGACAGTTATGATGGTGACAAGCACGCAATGATCCCAACAAAGTTATGTAGAATGGGCTTCGCTGTGTTCAAGGACAATGTGACAGCGAACCAACCGGACACGATTTTCGTCGATAAAGAGGGCAACTGTTCTAGTAATGAGGAGACGGTAGAATGAGTACAACCATGAACGCTTCCAATGCTTGAAGTGGTGAAAAACTACAGTCGTCCCAGAAGGCGCAGAAGAGAAAGCACAAGAAAATCAATGTGCACGAACTATCGTTCTCTGTTGACCGAGCATATGTACAGCGAAGGTAGTGGCGACGAAGATCAACAGCCTCATAAATTCGACCGATAATGTCAATGCTGCTTGTATCAAGGAGTTGCTCGCGACGGGACGGCACTAGCATCGTACACCTTTGTACTTCTATGCCTACACACTTTTGGTGTAGAAGCGCTATCGAGATATGCTAGCTTTTACGCCTCATTTTACGAGCCTCGGTACCGAAGTACCGAAGTGTCACCTCGCCACTCCGAAGTCGGTAAAATCAAATAGACCACTCCGACCTCCCGAAGCCTCTCCAAAGTGATACACCGATTCCTGTCACTGATCTGCCGAAGTGTCCCGTCTCCGAGGTCGGGTTCAAGTGGCTTGAACCCCCGTTAGAAGATTCGCTGCCAATTTAAGATTTGCTCTGCATATAAGGTTTAAATTGATTTGACGTCCCCCATAAAGCTATTTGATGTGACTTATCAACTTTATGTCAATTCAACTCGGGGGAAACAAACTGTCCGCCCACTCTACAAGCGCGGCTGATTGACGCCTATGAGCAGACGCTTCATACCGTCAGATGTATACACGTGTTCCACATCCCACGGTTCATACCACCTATAAATACCCAAAGATTGGCCAGAGGCAAAGGTAATGAAACTCTCAATAGATAGCACTCCATAACAAGTTTATATATTCTCCTCCCTCTTTATTGACTGATTGATTTGTGTAGTCCCTGGACACTGTTCCGACCACCCAAACCTGACTTGGCCGTCGGAGTGTATACGGCCGCCACCCCCGTTGGTTCCGGCCGTGTGCGCCTGACAGTTTGTTCATTTCGTAGGGAGGAATACGTGGAGTAGCTAAAAGTTGGCCACGTGGAAGAGCCATTTTTAGAGGTCAACAGTTTGGCGCCGTCTGTGAGAACCGTCATTCCCCATTCAAAGTCCTACATTCCCCGTCGGAGAAGCTACCGGAAAACCGGCGACTGACCCTGAAAAGGGAGGCATTCTTGAAAAAGAATAAAAGTCGAGTTACAATCCAAGTTCTTACTATCCTTGAAAGAAGAGGTAGGATGAGTTACAGCCGTGAAGACAACCCCATCAGAGAGGCCTCTGAAGAGGAAGTACTTCATAACAATGTTACTAATCAGAGACCGCATCACCGGCGTCGACGAGGTGAAAGAACAGCCGTACTCACCGAAGGAATGGCCCAGATAGCTGCAGGCATGAGAGACATAGCAGCTCAGAATATGGCGATGCGGGAACTTCTCATGCAAGCTCAGGGACACCAGATGCCCCAAGGATCGTATCCGGTGCGGGAAATCCCTTTGTCTCATTCTCGAGGCCACATGAGCCGGCACACCGAACGTCCTCTCGAAAGAGAGCATAACACCGAAGCAACATCTTATATGCAGGAGAGCCATCCATCAGAACCACTCTTGGGGGACAACTTTCCACAAGAACATGACCAGAGGTCAGTAAGCGTCTTCGACCGGATAGGGAACGATCCTAGCAATAGGATCCGCCCTTCAAGAGGGTCGGTCCGGTCAGACAACGAAGAAGAGTATGTCCCTCCTCCTAGAAACAGGAAGGAGAGGAGAAACTTAGTCGATTGGGGGAGCCGTGGGAAAGCACCTCCTCCACCCCAAGACATCCAAGATGACCAAGGATCAGAGGGGCCCTGCCGATCTTATGAGATTGACGACGATGACGATAACCTCCCTTTCTCAAGGGAAATCCGAAGCTTCCCAATGCCAACTAATTTCATGCCCCCAAAGATCCCCAAGTACGAGGGAAAAGGGGATCCGGAGAAGCACCTCACAAAGTATATGACGCAAATGAGTCTTAGGGGAGCCTCACCTGCTCTAAAGTGCAGAGCCTTCCATTTAACACTAGGC